TGTGGCCAGGGCGACAAGTTAAAAAAAAAGTTTACTGTGTGATTTTTTTCTGAGCTCCCACTCTAGTGATGTCATCACTCACTCTAAAGGACCACATACACACCCATTGTAAAGGCTGAAAAGGACTGAAAAAGTTTCAAAACTTGAGAGGTTGTCACAAAGAAACAATTGAAGATATGAAAAAAGTAGAAATGCTTTGAAATAGGGGAAGGCCGCGTCAACCTTTTAAAGTTTTAATGGAGTCTCTAGGTGAAAGTATGCCTGAGCAGTGGAGGTTTGAAGAGAAGTGTAATTTTGGGTGGTTTTCTCGTCTGTCCCATTCATTTTCAATGGGAGATGTTTGCGACGTTTTGGCGAATTGCGTCGTGAAAAATGCGATTTTTGTAAATCTGTATGTAAGCACACTATTCCCGATCGAGCCACACGGTTTACTGTATAATTTGTGTGGGTGTGCTCAAATATGTGGAAGGAGTAGCCGACCGAAATTTTGTACGGAAGAGTAGAAATAAGAAGAAACGCACCAGGACAACAATAGTGGCCTCGGGCTTTGCGTGCTCTTTCGTGACGCAATTTGCCAAAACGTCGCAAACATCTCCCATTAGAAATGAATGGGATGGACGTGAAAATCACCCAAAATTACACTACTTTTCAAACCTCCACTGCTCAGCCATACTTTCACCTAGAGACTTCATTTAAACTTTAAAATGTTGACGCGGCCTTCCCCTATTTCAAAGTCTTCCTACTTTTTTCATATCTTCAATTGTTTTAGTTTTTTTAGTTCTATCATATTGTTGCAAAACTGTATGTGGAGAACACACAAGTAGAAAACTACTCTATAAACACAATACTGCAATTATCAAATGCTTACTATTTACCTAAGTCAACCTCAAATTTACACACATTCACATGCTAGAAAAATATCAGCTGTTTCTGATTAGTACTACTTAAATGGAGACAACAACTTACCTGCTTCAGACAGAAAATTGTATCCACTTTACTGACAAATGTCCTTAGAAAGGGTCCAAACTTGTGAAAAACTGAAAAATGCAGGGAGAAAAGGTGTTGTCCAAGGAGCATGCAAAGTGCAAAGGCCTTAAATTGCTCTGTGAAAATGAGAAAATGGAGCAAACTTCTCTGTGTCCTCCAACGGTCAAGCATAGACTTGTCCTGAGTTGTGAGCCAATCAGAACTGGGCAGCAATTGTGGCCTTGTTTAAGTTTTTTAAACTTAAAGAAGTGAGTACACCCAATGACTGTCTTAAACACTCTCCATATACTCATACTGTTGCATACTGCAACAAAATTGACTTTTTGCAGTGGTATTTACTTGAACGTTTGAGTATAAAGAACCTTGGGGGTTAACAGAGTATGGTTTTACTGGTCTGGCCCACTTGAAATCAAATTGGGCTGTATGTGATCCCTGAACTAAAATTAGTTAGATACCCCTGGTATATATCAAGAAAATGTAATTCTTGAGCCAGTTTTACTTGTTTTTGCCTTTTACCACAAAATGCACTTTGGAAAATGAAAACAATTTACTTCAGGCACTGAAGACTCTAACAACTTTTTGGAGAAGTTGCAGAATCTCTTTATAATGTATACAAGTCTGTGATACACAATGCATTACAATTAATTCCAAAAAATAAATAATATGAAACCTCATCTGAATTCTCTGCTAATCATTTGAAACATGTCGTATGTCACTGCAGCAATCAAAACAGACAAACACAAGGACACGTCACGGTGGTTTAGTCAATGAAAGAACTGTCAGTCTCTGGCTGACTGTGTCTCCAACTCTTCAAACTCCTCAAGTTTTTTCTCCATGACATCATGGATTATGGCTGAAACAGATGGACAGACAGACAGACAGAATGAACATCTTTTAGCCACAGTCTGCTCTGAGTGCAGAACTGGATATGTGTCATTAGAGACCACTACAGTCTAGCACAGGGGTGGGCAATCCTGGTCCTCGAGGGCCACAATCCTGTATGTTTTAGATGTTTCCCTCTTCCAGCACACCTGATTCAAATGATCAGCTCATCATCAAGCTCTGCAGAAGCCTGATAATGATCCTAATAATTTGAATCAGGTGTGTTGGAAGAGGGAAACATCTAAAACATGCAGGATTGTGGCCCTCGAGGACCAGGATTGCCCACCCCTGGTCTAGCAGGCACACCTAGATGGCACTGCAACAATGTCTATGACCTGATGACCAAGAAGAACAGGAGATTAACAGAGATAATAAACAAAATAAACAAAGAAAACACACTGATTAATGGAGAAAGTGGTAATTTTGTTAAGTGTAACATTTGCTTTTTTTTTGTTCTGTTTTTTTCAACAGAATGGCTCAAAAATGAACAGCAACAAATAGTTCTACTGCATCACTAAATGCTAGCCTGTAACCTTAACATTTGCTGATTACATTTGTAGTGATCATGTATGAGATTTCTGATAATTTGTCATTTTTTATCAACAATAGCTATGGAGGCAGATACTGTGGCTTATAGTCAACGGACAATTTAGGGCTAATAGCAGACACTGAAGTGATAAAAAAAAAAAAATAATAATAATAATACTGATGCCGAATGATGGTGTGTGTCTGGCTAGTCCAGAACATCATTCTCAGAATATCAAACTTCACAAAAAACAGCAATAATCATTAGAAAATCTCTTACTATCCAGCATCTCTCTTGCTGTGTATCTCTTCTCCAGACTGTTGTTAACCTCATCCATGAGCCATGGCAAGAAATTCATCTCAACATCTGCAAATCAGAGCCACAAATATCACAAAAGGTTAAGCACTTACATGAAAACATTGATGCACAGTGTAAGCAGGAAATTTCAAAAACTTCAAATGTATTATTTGTCCCTGAGGGGCGATTTGTTATGCAGCAGCTTACACAAGCATTCACAATAAACAACAATAAAAACAGTAAAAAACACAGATTAAGGAAATGTTGTTTTTTTGTTGTTGTTGTTGTTGTTGTTTTTTTAAAGTAAAAAAACCATAATAAAAACAGTTAAAAATTGCACAAAACATAAGACAGACAGGGACATTAGCAGCAATCTTGGTCATTCATTCAGTCAGGTGTATTCCAGTGCAAACAGTCAGCAGCAGCAAGGCAGAAGAAGTCAAGCAAACAGGTTAAAGTGCAGCACAGGACATGATAGAGTACAGCAGCAAAAACACAGTGCATTACCTTTTCCTCTTCTCAGCGTTTATAGCTCGGATGGAGGTAGGCACAAAAGAGAGCTTGTACCTGTTTTTTGTGGCCTGGGGTCCTGCCAGACGAGCTCATCTACTATTACTGTATGTGCGGTGACGGGCTGTGACGCCCTCATGTGTCAGAAGCATGAAAGCTGAGGAGGCTCACCTTTCTCCACAGGGTCATAAAAGTAGCCGTGGCGTCTCAGTGAGGTAAAGACTGCAGGTAGGAGGTCAGCCATGTACTGCTGGGCATACACACGGGCAGCAATCTTCTCTGCAGTCTCTCTTTCTTTTTTTAACACCTCTTTCTGCTGTGCAACTCTACGCTCCTGAAGTCAGAGAAAATGTATTTCTAATGAAGTATGAACAATTTCTGCTCTTAATGTATACCAATTTGATTTTATATGGATTTTCACAATATACTTGTTATGAAAGAAGTTTTTCTGTTGTGGTATTTGTTGTGGTATATTCTGGTGTGGTATTTTTTTTCTTTGGAAAAATCCTGCAGTGTGTAGAACTAGACTCTTTGTCTCAGAGAAATGTAATGCAAAAGCACCACAACAATAAGCACTTTGCAGCACAGAGAAAGACATGTAATTCTCATAACTTGATTAAGTGTAGTACCATGTCATTCCTAAAACAGTCAGTGATGTCTACTGATGTGGTTTAATTTGGTTAAGCCACCAGGTTTTTAGAAATGTGAATTATTTTGAACTAAACATACAAAATTCTGAGTTTAAAATACAGTATGCATACATAGTTACAAATTAATAAAACACTCAAACACTGAGCTAATCTTTTTCATCAGGATTGTGAATTTTGTCAGCATTCAAATAGAATAGATAACAAAATGGCAATTCAGTTTAATTATCAGTGTAGGTATTCAAATTCTGAATATTGAACATTTATCAGCTATTCAGGAGGAAGAGAAAGTGGGTAGACGTAATCCTGTTCAGTGGAGCAAAAAGGAAAATTCAAGACATTGCATACTTTCTCCTCACTGTGGCGTCTCTCCTGCTCCTGAAGTCGCTGCACCTCTGCCAGCTCATTATTTCGGAGCTCTTCAAAGGCCCTCTGCTGGGCTCTCAGGCAGGACAGCTCCTCCTCTTCCATCACCTCCAGCAGAGCCTGTTCCACTGTCTTACCCACTAAGACCTCCAACACTGGCTGCACCTCTCTGTCAAAGTCAAACAACTGCAGGCGATACTCACAGTAAGTAGTGTTGTGCAATTTAAACATTAGGTTTCATTTTTTCCAAACCTGCAAATAATTTACAAGTTATTTTTCATTAACATAATGCTAATTTTTAATGGGCATTGTATTCGTTCTCTATATATTTGTCTTCTTTGTATACTGTGGGACTCTGAGAAACGGCCTTCACATGTAAGCACTGCACATGTAGAGATATTGACAATAAAGTTCACTTTGACTTAAAAAAAATAAATAAAAAGTTTAGTATTTCATTTCAACAAAGTTGGAGGACTCACAAAAACAGAGTTTTCTTGTGAACTCAAAATGTTTGCAATGCCAGGGTCCAGTTATGCACCCTGTGATGCACTGACGACTGGTCCAGGCTGTATCCTGGCTCTCATCCAATGTCAGCTGGAATAGGCTCCAGCCCCCACAACCCTCCACAGGATAAAGGGAGTATAGCTGATGGGTGGCTTCTGTCACATTATAAAAAAGCCATGTACTCTCCAAGCCCAAGCTGTCATAACCTTGATTATGAGATTTTTTTTTGTGGTAGATGTAACACCTCCAGAGCCACAGAGGTCTTCATACAACTACAAACTGGCCTTTATATATGGGATTAGGTGCATTTTCCTATTAATGATATCTAAAAAAAAACAAAAACAAAAAAACAAAAGCAGTGGCTAACACCAGGTTATTAAAAGAAAACACTTGCAGACTTCCTGCTTGGACTACTTACCTCGCCTTCCTCTATCTGTGTGGCAACGTCCTTGCCAGATTTGGCAGGTATGAAGAGCGGAGTTGCTGGTTTGTCCAGGAAAGCATCAGTCTGACACTCATTGTGTGTAGCTACAATATCATCACTCAATTCTTCAAGGTAAAGCTCTGAAAAAGGCCAGAATTTTCAAAGTAATAAAATTCAGTAGACATTTTTTTGTCCAATATCATAGCAATAAATGTTGTAAAGCTCTCAAGATACATGTTTCACCTGTTTGTACGTCTATGTGTTTTCTGCCCTGCAGGGCCTCAGGAGTCCTGAGTCTCAACTGCTTCCAGGCCCGTTTTTGAGCAGTGGCTCTCCTCTTGTTCACCTGTTGTCTTTGTATCTCAGCAAGGTTTGGTTGAGCTGTCTGTCAGTGGTGGAAGATAGCACACATTTTAAGACATGGAAGTCATAAACTTGCCTGGTTAAAAGTATGTTTCATACTTACAGTCAGTGGGATATGTTGGGCGTAGGTATTTCCTCTGACAACACGACGATCATACATGATGTTTCCATAATTATGCTGCCTCCTGAGTAGTCAAAGGGAAAACAAACAAACTCAGCAGCAGCAGCAGCAAACTGCCATATGTTGGCATCAGAGGGGAAACGGTGATTCACATTGTACCACCACCACCGGCTAAATGAGTTGGCATCTGAGACACTTTTTCATGGACTTTTGTCTGCCTGATGGTTGTGAATATTTAGTAACAGTGGTGATACAAAAACCATGAGCATGTTCATGTTGTAGCTGGTCAAAGTGATGCTCGTTTTAACTGAAATAGTACTATATGGCAGTGCATTATATTTGATTAGATAAGTAGAGTAACAAGCAACTTTAGCAGTCAGATTAACGTAAATTGTTAAAATTTATAAATTATAAAGTACCATACAATGAATGTCGTTAATATTGGCTGCTTTCTATCACATCGAGTAAAGCTACTGCAGGTTTGCATTTATTTATTTTTTTTATTCCACATATGATAAACACTGATTTACAGGAATAGTTAGCAACTTCAAACGTTGCATCTTTCAAACACTGACACTGTAACTCACAGCTCAGACGGAGGCTCTTTGTATCTGGAGCTGCTCTCAACAGGTCTGGGGCGGCTGGAGAACGTGTACAGTCCGTCCGGATCTCTGTGGCTGTGTGAGGCAGAAGCCATTCTTCAGACACCGTCAGATACTCTTGCAGTGAGTTGGTCAACTTAAGTGTCTGAAAGCGGAAAGAAAAGGACGCTTCTGTTGTGGCAACCGTCTCCAGGAAGTGCGACACCGCGGCCGTTACATCACTTCCGCAGGAGACCGCCGCCGCTGCACATCCTCAGCATCGCTGTTGTGCTGTATTTGGAAAAGTTGTTCACATTTCATAAACATGAAGGCAAAAGCTATCTGAAGTCACTTTATGTGAATGAATTCAGAGGACACGCTTTAAATCAAGACTTGTCAGGCTGTGAGCTTCGTTTGTTTGTTGTAGGAGCATGAATAGGGTGAAATATAAAGAGAGTGAATTTCTATTACTCATAACATTTTGACATGATTTATATTAATGTTAAGTATTGCTTGGTCTTATTATTGTTGGCTATTTATATGATTATTCGTTGGGAGCTGGTCACGTGGTACAGGGTGGTGAAGTCTATTTAGATACCTGCTCACCTGCAGTTGGTGAAGGAGAGGGTGACTGGGATGAACTCAACCTTTGATAGCTGTGATATTAATTTTGTTATATGTTGTACACGTTATATTAAGTTGACCCTTTTCATGATTAAACTTTGAATCGTATTTTGGATCTCAGTGAATCTTTTGTACAGCGTGTCGGACAAAGAGCTATAGGCACAACTTCCGCTGCTAAACGTATGTGTAAATGTGTCGTCTGTTGTCTTCTTGCTTGTGGATGTTTTCTAAATTCATAAATATTTTACTGAAGGAACTTAAAAGGGAAATAAAGCAGGAACATGAGTGAAATAACTTCTAATGATGCATGTTTTGAAATGGAGTGTGGAAAAAGAGAAACAAAACTCACTGCAAAGGCCTTGGGGGAAAAAAGTTCCAAAGAGAACACAGAATCTCTGTGAATAAAATAAAGGGACTCATTCCAGAAATAAAGGCACTTCTGAAAAGAAAAGAAAATGTCTCATCTGTTGAAGCTCATATGAAGAGTTTAACTGAGCTGTGGGGAAATGCCAACATGTCACATAATATGTTGATACCTTTACTTCCAGGGGACGAACAGAACAGACAAAATGAATGGTTTGCAGCATTGTGAAAAACAGTGGCACATTAAAGGAGGACATTAAACAACAGCTGAGTGAAGCTGAGGAGTTGCCCCACAATGGCAGCCTTATTCAGTTTGATCCTGCTGCAACAAATGGAGCTACTCACCTTCCTTTACCATCTGACCCTCCAGTGTCTGTGCAGGCGGTGTCCACGGTCATGACCAATGAAATGGAAGATGATGTAAATCCGAGTCGATCCAAATCCAAATCGAGTGACAATGTGTCAGATATGAAAAGCAGAGTAACTAAATCACAAAACTCTGCTAAGGGATCGAAGTTTGTATAAGAATCATAAGTAGAAGATAAAAATGTTTTCTGATCTGTGTGCGATACAACAGAACAATAGCGTGTCAACAGGTGCTGTGCTGCTACATCACCTCAATGATGCTGCTACCTGTAAATAGACTATATGCACCTTAGTTTCTCTATTTTTATTCCTTTGTATCTATTTATATTGTTGTTTTATTTTTGTTTGGACATATATATATTCTTTAATATGTGTATTATATTAATATATATATACTTTTTTATGCTGCGCATATGACAATAAATATCTAGCCATCCATCCATCCATCCATAAGCATAGTGAGAAAATGAGTGCAGACAGAGAGCAAAGTCACCTCGCCCTAGCCTGTTTACTGACCCCATATCTGTTGGCTCAATCTTCTAAATAAGAGTCTTTGCTCGTTAACACTACAGCAGCTTTATGTTGTTTTATTGATTAACTGATGTCCTTTTTAGTGTTTTAGTATGTTTGTATATGTTTTCTGGATTGTTTTTCTCTCTATGTACAACACTTTGACTGAAAGTGCTTTCAAAATACATTTATTATTGTTATTATTATTCTTTAATAAGGCCCAAAACTCTACCAAGGCAAAGGGAAGGAAGTTCATGCATCTTGGCTTTTTAAATTAGGTCCCTTGTTAAAAGAAAAAAAAGTTATCAGGATGCATTGGCATATACCATCAAAATTAAGTTTTGAAATATGAAAAGGCTTACCAGGGACGCTAGCTTTTTAAAATAAATGCACCATTTCATGGCTTCTCCCTGTGCTAGACTGTCAGAACAAAACCTCCCTGATGGTGTTTAAAGGAGCAAACGGTACTTCTTTATGCCTCACACACAAGTTGATGGACAAACCAGCTGTGTGCTTGGGTTTACTTTCAAAATAGGAGTTCCTACCCTGTTTCACTACATGAAGTGCTATAACATGACATGAATTGATGCTATATATATATATATATATATATATAAAAGAATTGAACTGACTCGGACTTTAACAGCGCTTAATAAGCAGCTTTATTGTAATGTGGATTTCACTTTTTTAAGTCTCAGTTCCTTAGCCCACGATGAACACTGACATTTACTAGGAGTCAACATGATTCTGTGAAGTACGCTATACAGTTCGTAGACACAAACAACTACATCTATGACAAAACAAGAATGCACCAGGCAATCCTTTCAAGAGCTGAGATATTGGTCTGAAGTACTACTTCTGAAAACCCTGGACAGGGACCCATTCTATTACAGGGCCACACAGACAGAGACAGACAACCAAACACACCTAGATTTAAGAAGATCGCCGGTTCACGTCCCGGTGAGGACACCGGGGATCTCACAGCCAGAAAATGTAAAAACAGAAAGAATCGGTGGATTTCCAACTCAATGTATTGTGTAACATGTAAATGCATCAGAAAAATTAACCAAATCTAGGCTTAAAATAATGGCACTTGATCAATCACTTTATTTTACATACTGTGTTTCTCAGCAGAACCTTTAAGTCATTACTGACTCAGCTGCAGGCACAAAGAGCTCCAACAAATAAAAATATTAGTAAAATATCTACAGTATCTGGTTTTAATTTCTGTACAACAAATAATCAAAGAAATTCTGCTTTAATTTATTCTTTTTTCTGATCTGTAACATAAAACAAAGCCATTTCTGAGTTCTTGCTCCTTCCTTTTATATTGCAATGAAAAATGAACATACAGTGAGGAAAAATGATACAGGAGTAGAAGACACACATAAAACTGCATGGGCTTCAGCGGGTTAATGAGTTGCTCTACTATTTTATTCATCCAGTTTATGTCAATGAGGGCATGACAAACCCCTCTATACAGAGATTATATACACGCACGCACGCACGCACAAACAAACACACAAACACTCACACACACAACTCACAAAAGGTTAGGGATATCTGGCTTTCGGGTGAAATTTCAGGATGAACCTGCACTATAACCTTTACAGGTGAACTTAATATGACCTTCTCTAAACTTTTGAATGTCCACCAGTTCAATGTTTCAGCAATTTCTGCACAACTTGCTGTTCTCTAAGAAGGAGCTTAACAGCAAAATTCACAATTCAATTTTCAATTCAATTTTATTTACACAACGCAGTTTACAACATATGCCATCTGAAAGCTCTTTACATAGTAAGGTATAGACCTTACAAATTGTAACACAAAACCCAACAGTACAAAGTAGCCTTTGGACTCCCTCTGAGCAAGCAGCTGGCAACAGCAACAACAGGTGTTTGATCCATGAATCGACCAACGAATTTCCTTGTTCAATTAGAATTGGTATTTAAACAGTACTCCCCATCATGCTGTTCACATTTTGACATCATGAGACCAAGACGACGCCTAACAACTGATCAACAGTACCTCGCCATTGCACAGCTTCAAACAGGATGTTCTCAGACAGAAGTGGCCACTGAGTGTCATCAGCAGGGAGCAGAGATACAGGGAGACTGGAAGAGTCACAGAAAGGCATAGAAGTGGACGTCCTCTGGCCACATCCCATACTGATGATGCCCATGTTGAATTTTTCTCGGGATTAACAAAGTATCTACCCATCTATCCGTCCATCCGTCCATTCATCTGATGACCGCTTCATTGTGAACATTGCCCTGTGGAACTGGATGATGAATGCCACTCAACTCCAGGCACATTTAAGTGAGGTGAAGTGTCACGTCAGACCATCAGCGTGGTCTGCGTGCTAGACGACCTCCAAGGGTACCTGACCAAACCACCAGGCAGAGGGAGCATATACGCTGGATGAGGTTACAGTGGGCCTCAGTGCTGTTCTCTGATGAAAGTCATATTCAGAGATCAAAATTGCTATCCCAATACCAGCAGAGCGAACAAATAGTCGGCTATTCGGGTCCAGCCCTAGAAATCACCATTGCATGCTTCTATTTAAATGCTCTACTTTCATGATGTAATACCACTGTAGCGTGAACTTTTTACATTTTCCATAAATTTCACCTGAAAGCCAAATATCCCTAACTTTTTGTGAGTAGTGTATATAAATATAGAACAAGAGCCACACACTAGAAGATCCAAAAAAGGCTTGTATTAACATTAACAGAAGACATCAAAAATAGCAGTTTTTAATCTCTCTGCATGAGACATTTTGGTCTTTAAGGTCCAGAGTGTAATTGTTTTGTGCACACAGTGTATTATTGATGCATTATGGGAGCCCCAGGACCCCCAAAATACATACATTTACTACATTTTTATGCCATATGCATTAACACTGCCAAAATGACCAAAAATCAAAACATAACATCACAAAAATGACCTACTGGTCACTTGAGGGTTAAAGCAATGTGGCAGTAAAAGACCCAAACCAATGTTAATGCAGACTGCTCCAGAGATACAATCCTCTCAGTTACACTCAGTCAAATTCAAGCCCCACATTAACCACTCATTGCATGAATGCAGGGTCAAGACAGCAGCTGTTGAAGACAAGGAGAAGGGAATGTAAAATCTATTTAAATCAGCACCAACAGCACCTCCTGTTTGGTGGAAATATAATAACAATCTGGTCCAAATAAGGACCAGAATTTTGGAAAACAAAGGGAGCTCAAGTCAGCAGTATTGTGGCTTGTCTTCAGCATTACATGGAGGCTGGCAACATTGGATGCCTCAGCAACAGTTCATGTTTGTTTCTTGTGTGAGTCTGTCACTCATCAGCTTGTGTCTTTCTTCCATATACCATTTATAACAGACAGCACACATACCTCTACTGCTTCACAGTTAAAAGGTGCAAAAAGGGCACACTGCACACTTCAAACATGTGCATCTTCCATAAAATCCTCTTAGCATAATGCTCTTCTTTTTTTTAAAAGATATTTTTTGAGGCTTTTCTGCCTTTAATGTATAGGACAGTGAAAGCGTGACAGAGAAATATGAGGAGAAGAGTGGGGAAAGGACATGCAGCAAATGAGCCGCTGGCTTGAATCGAACCGCGGCTGCTGCACTGGGGACTATAGCCCCTGTACATGGGTTGCCTGCCCCACCTGTTGAGTTATCCGGACGCCCAGCAGAATGCTCTTCGAAAAAATAGATTTTCCTGTGCACAGCTTCAGACACACATGTCTACAACGCCCTCATCTGCGATCAGAGGTGGACTGTTAAGCCCTGGAGCCATCTCCTGCATCTTCATCTGCTCTGAGTCACACAAACCCTGGCAGCTGTCTTGAGCACCTGCAGAGGACTTGGTGGTGTTGGACTGCCTTAAGTTGGAGCTGCCTCCTGTAGAATAAACGCCAGAGTCTCCACTGCTGCTGCTGTCCTGGCGACTGTGTCTGCCACTGAAAACATCGAGAGGAGGGGACATTTATTATTTTAGCTTTGTACAGTGATGTAATATCTCTTAAATTGTAAATGAGAATTTCTTATTAAGTATTGCATTTGGTAAACAACACAGCACATATATTGTCAGAAACTCTTTTCAGAGTTGTGATAGGATTATTATTATCAACAATAATAATAATACTCACAATAATAACAACAACCTTATCAAGTACATTTGGTCCCTTAAAAAGGTGAAGGGCGCACACAAACTCTGTTCATCTGATGTAGATGTAAATATCATCAACTTAAAGCTGAAAGTCTACACTTAAAACCTATCTTAAGTCAGCTGGGATAGGCTCCAGCCCCCCCGCGACCCTCGTGAGGATTAAGCGGTGTATAGATAATGGATGGATAATTTAAAAACTGCCTTTTGTGTTTACTTGGGTTATCTTTGTCTGATATTTACATTTGCTTGATGATCTTAAACATTAAAGTGGGAAAAATATGCAAAAAAATAAGAATTTGAGAAGGGGGGTAAATACGCTTTCATGACCCTGTATATTATACCAACAGGGTTGTGCCATTGAAGACCATATGTACATATTAATGAGCCTGCAAAATTCAGGACTCTAGTCACATTATTTGTCAAGTTATGACAATTCAAACACTGCTCGACAGATTGGTACAAAGAAAACAATGCAAAATCAATATAACACCTTCTTTAAGGATTTTAACTCAAAAACTAATGTTACCTCTGACCCCAGATTTTACACATGGTCAACTCAATCAATATTCACCACTTTTTTAAAAAAAATCTGTCAAATTGAAGATGGCCAGGTGTGAACTTTTTAAAAAGTATGGTGAATTGGTGGAATGACCCATATAAATAAAAAGTAATATAATGAAGTAACTGCTGTTGTTTCAGGTGAATAAATGTAGGCAATGCTCTCTCTTTGGAGACAGCTACTAGGTTCAACCTGGTAAAATTGCCATTGGTGCTTTCACAGAAAAGTAGGAGCAGAGTTCTTACTTAGATATAAAGCAGAACATTCAGAGGCTGTCAGATAAACAGAAAGGAGTGCATGTCTGAAAGGGGTTAGAGATTAAAAGTGACCTGTTGTCTGGGTCCAAGCCTGCTGTTGGTGTTGGAAGGTCTTCAAGGGGTGGGTTATGAATTTCCAAGACAGTTGACTCAGGACAGACAGTCACATTGTCACACAGCAGTAATGATTCTGAATCCGGGGTGAGAAGGCGCGGAACGTCAGAGGCTGGAGAGTCAAAAAGGTACTGAAGGGAGGAACAGAACAGACATACTGAGATACTAAGACATGTTCAGGTGAAACTGAATATGGAAATGATTTGGTCAACTGAAAACAATCATAAGAGTAGTCAGTTACTATATATTCTTTCATTATTGGCTTAGATTGGCCAAAACTACATCAATAAAACCAGAAAAAAACTCAGCTATATTTGACTTCTGCCAGCACATAGTCAGAACTGTGATGACACAAGTAATACTGTAGCCTGCTGTAACTGCGTACATCCTTAAAGTGTGGGGGCAGCTGGTTCGGAGGGTACAATGCCGTCTTGAAGGTCTTGCAGCACCAAAAAGAGCCATAGAGTGAGAGCAGCACGACGACAAAGCAGATGACAAGAGAGCCCAAAAAGTATACAAAAATCTGCCACCATGGAGTAGCACCTGTTATACAAACACACAGAAAACACACACAGAAATCAGATCATATTTTAGTGTAGTTTCATGGTCCATCTGTTACCGTTTACATCTACTTGAACAGTTTTATGCAGACACGCAGACAAGAATGAAGAGTTTCAAAAGGCTGGTTTAATGTCTGTCAGTCGTAGATTGTCAGTACTACTAACTGACCATTTGGAGATAAAAAGTTTAGAGCTGACCATCATGGATGAGTGAGATGTGCTGCTGTTTAAATATGAAGATAAAGACAGACATTTTCAGTTTCTCCTCAAGGCATTTGTAGGGTTGCACTTGTTGGTACGAATTAAAGTGAGCTATCCAACCATCAGAAGAGCAATGAGGATGGAGTAAATGGCTAAAGCGGCCCTTGCAGGGTTTTTGCTTTCCTTTGCACCTTGCACAACCCATGTTACATGTTCCATTTGCTTTATTTGATTAGATTTTATTTTATGTATATATTTCTTGAACACTTTAGGTATCTTACTTTATTTATTTATTTATTATTTTTTAGATTTTGTTTCACTTTTTATTGCAACTGGACACAGGTACTAAGCACATTTCATTACGCATTGTACTGTGTATAATTGTGTATAAGACGAACAAAAGTTTATCTTATCTTATCCTGTGATAAGTAGACTGTGTTGTTCCAATCCAAAACATTTATGGCATTCTAGTTTTCTTAGTGAGACTGAAAAATTAGTTGATAAACTACACGTGGCACTCATTTTTCTGTGAGTAGAAAAAAATAATCCACCCATGTTTCAAAAGTCGTTTCTCAATAGGCATACTTGTCCATACTTGTGTTCTTGCAGACTTGTGAAACATCATCAGCTGTAGCCCAGGTATTGTTCCGATTCAAAGGATGTATCAAGCCAAGTACGGATGAAATGCCTGGATGTGTTCTTACTCAGCCCTTTATCAAGAATGCATCTTGACGAGACTTGTGTGGACTTGGGGCAGCCAAGTATCCCAGAATGCCGTTCGCACCAACCAGCAGAAAAAGGCACAGGAGAAAATTTACCAAAGTAAAAAAAGTTTTTTGGAAATATTAATGTGACACACATCAAATCTGTGGTTGTTTTATCAAGAAAAAGCTGCAAAAAAATCTGCTCTAATGCTTTGAGAGTTGTGAGTGTCTCAGACAGGAAACATGCAGACAACCAGGTGGAAAGTGTCATTTCTTTTTTGTTCACAGGCAAATGGCTTTGAAGGAAGTCCAAGTTATTTTTTACAAGTTTATATTGTTATTTAATGTACTCAATCGCTGCCTTTGTACTTCTGATGGAATTATTTGCTTGTCTTCATCATCTTTCATCTATTTTTATGACTGTTACTGTGCATTAAAAATAATATTTAAGCAATATTTTAATTAAGGGACAGCTGATGAAAGCCAGGTCCTCACTGACTGCTGGGAGACGCCACAGACAGCCGACAGAGTAACAGCAGCTACTTGGTCTCAAGGATCCATCTGTGGACTTTCTGCAGGAGCAGCATCTTTAGTAGCATGTTTATGCTGTTCATTATATTTGCAATTATGTTAGTTTTTCCAATACTTTTGAGCCTTTCACACTTCACAGTTTACTCAGCCTGTGGACACCAATGCTCCTTTCCCATATACACAACAAAATTTGTCATTGATTGAGGTAGTATAAACAATTTATCAAACACTTGTTGAACATGTACTAAATAATAACCTGAAAGGTCTTTAAGCACATTATAGTAGTGTTAAGATAAGATAAGATAAGATAAGATATGCCTTTATTTATCTCACAGTGGAGAAATTCACGTTGTTGATAGTGTTATTAACAAAGCTAAAAATGCATGCTAAATATGGTAATTTTGGGTGCTCTGGCTTCCTCCCACAGTCCAAAGACATGCAGAGGGTAATTGGTGATTGAAATTGTCCATAGGTGTAAATGTGAGTGTGCTTGGTTGTCTGTCTCTCTTAGTTGCACTGGGATGGACTGGCGACCTGTCCAGGGGGGTACCCTGCCTTTGCCTTAAGTCAGTTGGGATAGACTCCAGAACCCTTGCGACCCTACAGAGGATAAAGTGATGTACAGAAAATGGATAAATGGATGGATGTTTACAATAAACTAATGTATTCCTCTAGACCACATGTGTCAAACTCATTTTATGTGGCCCGCGAGAGACGTGTGTTTCCGAAACTGATAAATTAATGACATTTACGTAACATAATATAATGTAATATAATGTTATAATTTATGTTATAATAACACAGCAATGTGCCTACACAGGGCTCCAGACTAAGACCAAAATGTTCTCATATGCGACCATTTTTGACCGTATGCGAGTTAAAATTTCATGTGGTCACATTGTGTCAGTGAATGATGATCATCAGGCTGATCTGGTTCCTTCCGTCGGCACAAGTAGTTGATGCACAAGATGTTGTGGTTGGAAATTTCTTCCACATTGACTCAGTCTCTCTCTGCCTGACAGTAAAGCAATCAGTTTTGCTGTTACCATGTTCCAATGATGAAACAATACATAGTCAATTGTGTTAAAAAAAAATAAGAAAAAAAACACATACACACACACACACACACACACAAACAGACACACACAGCCAGGTTAGAGAGGGAGAGGTCCGGCACACCTGGCTGATGATTAAAGTGTTCAGGTGCAGGCAGACAGATCTCGACTGAGTCAGTCAGGAAGAAAAAGTAGCCCCACATTCAATCCAGAAGGTTCCAATTTAAACAGCAGACACAATGTTGACTATATGAACACGGTGGCCAGTGGTATGGACATTGAAAATGCGCTCAGCTCGTAGAAAAGTCTGTTCATAAAAACTCTGCTAATAGAAAGCTTTTCAACTTAGGGAAACTTGTGTAGAAAGCGCTTTAAAGGTAAAGGCATGCACAATATTTGTACATAGAAAAAATAATAATCAAATGCAGAGAAAACTCTATAACAATATGTCAAGGAGTCGTTACATTTATACAGTCTTACAATTACATCCGGCCCTTTGAGGGCAAGCATCATACTTACGTGGCCCGGGATGAACACGAGTTTGACACCCCTGCTCTAGACAGTCAAAAGCCTTTCTAAATACTAGGAATGTACATTGTGACAAATAAAGTTGTCGGTGTGGAAATCTTCATAAATATCGAACATTTTCCAAGACGGCAGCAACAGGTAGATTTCTGAATCCCTTCCAGGCAAATGTAAAAATGTCATAAACTGTGTTACCTTCTGTCTGCATGCAATGCGGTGAGGTGAAGCTGCTGCTTTTGTTGTAGAAGTCATAGCGCGTCTGCACGCTCACACAGTACCAGGTCCAGGGCTTCAAGTTTGGCAAAGTCACCAAACTGGCACTGCTGCTTACTGTCTGGGTCGTTGAGGCCTGAAAAGAGAGGCGACTTAAACTTTAGGGGAACTACTTCATTTATGTACCACCATATCAGAGTCAGTACAGTCTAAATCTGTGATGATAGGTCTGTAGTAAGTGGTAGAAAGCATTAAAGGAAGGAATATTAGGAATTCATGTCATTCAACCCCAAAAATCACTGCTGCTCAGTACTTAAGACTTTTTCAGTAATGAAGCTGCTGTACTTACCACTGATTACCTATTTCTATGCATTACATTATAAAGAAGGATGGCTTGCAACTCATACTACTGAATCACCAAAATCTATGCATTACACTTTCACGTCATATATTTTTCTACCCCAAACAGTATATATAAACAGAATATTAAAAATGGCACAATAACAGTCCTGGTCTAGAATATATTATATACATATTTCTCCTAAAGTCCACTGTCACCTCCACAGTCTTCAGTGAGTTCAGCTCTAGGTGGTTCTGACTACACCAGTGGACTAAGTGTTCCACCTCTTGTCCGTATGTAGACTCATCACCCCCCTGGATCAGACAGATTACAGTGGTGTCGTCTGCATACTTCAGGAATCGTCTTGGACCATTACTAGCAGTATTTTTCCATGAAGCGGTGGTGTGTGTGGGGTGGGAGATTAATGGGTTAGCAATTAATAATGAGCTAAAAGCCAGAGTTTTCAGTGTCACAAGGGTGGCTCTCTTTTTACTTGCTAGATCACCATGGTAACTGATAATGCATGACTAACCTGTTCTGGAAGAGGTTCTATTGTGCTGTAGGAAGCACCACCTTTTCATCAACATTTCTTCATAGCTCTCCAATATAACAACCAGTTTCCCTTGACTGAAATAGGTGGCACATGTCTGGTCCATTTTTTGCAGGAAAGAGTGAATTGATGTGTCAAGCGCCCCCTTTGATTGGAGGGTGCACACTTACATATGCTTGAACTAATTCTAGTTTTACCCTCAGACTTGGAAGCTTTTTTAAACAGTTTAACTAAATCTGTACTTGTCTGAGTTGAATTTTGCACCATCGCCTGAACATAATGCCTTAACTTTAAAATCGATAGAAGTCTTGTTTCTCTAATTGGTGTTTCTTTCAAAGTATTTCAAAACTGAGCAGTGTTCCTTTTTTCATTATATTATGTTGTTGTTGTTATGACATTTGTTATATTTTATGATTGTTTCCATAGAGATGGCAGTGCGCATGGACGCAGTGGCCCCTTAAGGAGACAGCGAGAGTGAACGTTTTGAGTGTCTTGTCTATCCCAGATGTTTGTTCTGCCAAACTTACAGCTGCGAGACTTTGCTGAACATCAGGACAGTAAATGTCACTAAAAATGCAGCAATCAGTTGTGATGTGGACATACTACACCAACACGGAGTCTGATCGGAGACTATGCCAGCAGTTACCCGAGAGAGAATGAAGTGCAAACGGTGCAAACGTAAGCAAAGGAGGAGGAAGGGAGGCGAGAGCCCTGCTAGGCTAAAAGCTAACCCCTCCAGACCAGCAGAACTGTATGTTTGCTTTAACACAAACATGGCTCCATGACAACATCCCACACAGACATACAGCTGGAGGGAACAACATCGTTCTGGATGGCTGGACAGACAGCTAGCTCTGAACATTTCCAGAGCTGCTGCAGGAGCAGGACACTGAACATTGTCAGGGACTCCTCACACCCTCTCCATGAACTGTTTGAACTGCTACCATCAGACAAACGTTTCTGGAGCATTAAAGGAAGAACCTCCAGACTGATCCACAGCTTCATTCCACAAGCTGTCAGAATGCTGAACTGCTGATCTGGATATGTAAACACTTCTTTATTTAATTGCTTTTAGTTTTTGGATCCTGAAGAAACGCTCTCTCATCTTGTTCATACGACTGTTGTATGTACAATAAACTTGATTTGATTTTGAGTTTTTGATTACACAGGGCTGTTATGCCCCTATGTGTCCATTCTTTAAATCTAACATCTAAGGGGGAAGTCTGACTCATATGCACACCATGCACTGTGATCAACAAAGCAGAGACAACAAGGCACCCCACCAAAATTCAACATTGAAGAAAGACACCTTTCAGGTCTGTCAGGGTGGTGTGAAGTTGTGTTATCAGGAGGAGGCCACGAGAAAGCTGATTCCACAACTCATACCTCCAGACAAGAGGACACCAGCAATGTGGATTAGGCCTAGATCAGCCAAGAGACTGGTGTAAACCCAGAGTCACTATCAGGCCAATAAAGGACCAAATGGCTGCCAGACACGCACTGACCAACTTCTGACTCTGCATGAAGTGGGGGTCAAAATCTGATAACAACATCAAAAGGATTTCACCCCCACCAACAATGCCACAAGGAACACTGAACTTGCATTTTGTTTGTTTGGTGTGTGCTGTTGGAACAGTCTTTATTATTATTTAGAAATTATTCATCTTATTTATTTCTTGTATGCATTAATGTTAAATAGTTACTCTTTACATATAAGATGCTTTATTGTCAGCTTCTCAGTTATCTGTCAAGTACCTTGAATTACACTAACTTGAATGACAGGTGCTATACAAAGAAAGTTTGACTGACTAATCTTTCTGCAGCATGTGCAATTTTAAAGTAAATACATGTGATGATACAAATTGTCCGTTCTGTTTTTAATTATTTTTATGTGCAACGTGGTGATACAAATCATTTGAGGTAATCTGCTAACAAGGCTGATGTGTTTCAGTAGGTTGTTAATGGGGCTGGTGCAGTCTCTGGGTTTCACCAGGTGTCTTTAGGGAGTGAGGGGAAAATACAAACAGCAGCATGGGGATTTATGCTAGAGAGAGCTGCTATACATACACAGTTATACAATGACAGGAGCTGAAGTATGAGAAAACTTGAACTTCTTCATGCAGTATAAAAGTGAGTTTAGGATATTCCTTTACACAGTGTTTGGGACTAGTGTTTGTAATGAGGAATAGTTTTCTACCTGTCTGTTTAGAGAGCGTTCCCAGTAAAGAATATCGTAGTACAGCTTAGGAAGATGCTCCTTCATTGAGCTGTTGGTGCTGGTCAGAGGATCAGAGATGAAAACGTCCAGGTCACTTCCAGCAGGAGCAAGGTTCACTGTCGATGGAGGTCCTACAGCAGCTGGAGAGGGGAGGCAGAGAGAAAGAGAGAAAGAGAGAAAGAGAAAGAGAAAGAGAAAGAGAGAGAGAGAGAGAGAGAGAGAGAGAGAGAAAGTGAAAGAAAGAGCGAGAAAGAGAAAGGGGGAGAGAGAGCGAGAGAGAGAGACAGAGAGAAAGAGCAAGAGAATGAGAGAGAAAGAGAAAGAGAAAGAGAGAGAGAAAGTAAAAGAGAAAGAGCGAGAAAGACAGGGAGGAGATATTACATCCAGGAATAGCTAGATGAGGGGTTGTGTAAGCGCCAACATAAAAAGTATGTTCTTTCCTTACCTTTCTCCAAAGCTTAACTACTACAAACCAATCCTACTTAAACATATATTTACAGTATAACAGTTATTTAAACATGTAACTACACAAATGAAGGTTACAAGTATAGAATCAAAAAATCAAGACCAGAATTTAAAAAATGAAAGATTAATCAAGTCAACTGAATTAATAGCGAACTATCCTTGACTTTTGTTTGTTTGGTCAGAGACAGCGGGAAAGCAGAAAAGAGGGTGCCGGTCGGGCCTACATGCTCGGCTAAGAAAACAACCGCAAGGACCGCCGCTACTGAGCATCTTCCTCATCAACGCCAGATCCATCACCCACAAAATAGACAAACTGAAGTTACAGAGCGCTTTGAACGACTTTGCCTGGAACTGCAGCGTTATTATATTACACGGAGACGTGGCTTCACCCACTTACCCCCAACGCTGCAGTTGAGCTAGCAGGCTGCATGCTACAGCGGCAGGACAGAAACAGAGACTCAGGTAAGAGCATAGCAGGAGGGCCTTGTGTTTACGTACATAACTACTGGTGCAGTAACAGCAGGATCACTGACACACACTGTTTTAGAGGTTCTGGCAGTCTCGTGCAGACCAATGGTGCTAACCAGTGGCAGTTGGTCAGTACAGGGCCCCTACTAATGACCAATGAACATACAGACTCAGAGACAGTTTCTTTCCCAGAGCTGTCACCACACTAAACAGTCACAAACAGAAAACATAATTCCACCACTGATTCCCATAAATAAACTAAAATATGTGTGTAATAAACCTTATCAATGTGAAACAGCTGTGCAATAACACTCATAAATGTGGAAAAAACAAAACAAACAAAAATGCATTTCCTGATATTTAGAATTACAACTTTGGTATATTTGTATTTGTAAAATACCTTGTATTATTGTATATTCTCTTTTTGTCTACTTTTGTCTTTCGAATGCACCAACTGGAGCAGCACTCCTAATTCTATTCTATTCTATTCCATTCTATTCTATTCTATTCTATTCTATTCTATTCTAAAAAGACACAAAACCTTTTTTCTCACTGTCTGACATTAAATCAGAGAAAATATTTCTTGTTTTAGGTCAGTCAGGACTACCAAAATTATTTCTATTTGGTAAACGCTGGAATAATGAGAGAGACATTTATTTTTAGGGATTTTTTTTTATTACTTTCTTCAAAGTCAGAAGTTTACATACATTTCCTTAGTATTTGGTAGCGTTGCCTTTCAACTTTATGACTCGGGTCAAACATTTTGGATTTCCTTCCACAAGCTTCTCACAAATAATCTGATGAATTCTGGCCCATTCCTCCTGACAGAACCGGTGGAACTGAGTCCGGTTTGTTGGTCTCCTTGCTCCACTGATGTTCTCCGGGATGGAGATCAGGGCTTTGTGATGGCCACTCCAAAACACTGACTTTGTTGTCCTGAAGCTTCTCTGTAGCTCATCTGGCGCTATGCTGAGGGTCATTGTCCATCTGAAGACCCATTGGTGACCCAAACTTTAACTTCCTGACTGATGTCTTGAGATGTTGCTTCAATATTTCCACACAATGTTCTTTCCTCATGATGCCATCTATTTTGTGAAGTGCACCAGTCCCTCCTGCAGCTAAACACCTCCACAACATGATGTTGCCACCCCCGTGCTTCACAGTTGGGATGGTGTTCTCAGGCTTCAATCTTCCCTCTTTTTCCGCCAAATGTAATGATGGTCATTGTGGCCAAACATTTCAGTTTTAGTTTCATCAGATCACAGGACATGTCTCCACAAATGAAGCTCTTTGTCCCTGTGTGCACTTACAAACTGTAATCTGCTTTTTATGTTTCTTTTGGAGTAATGTCTTCTTCCTCTCTGAGCAGCCTTTCAGCCCATGTTGGTACAGGACTGGTTTCACTGTGAATAATGACTCTCTCTGACCAGCTTCAGCAGCATCTTCACAAGGCCTTTAGCTTTTCTTCTGGGGTTGATACGCACATTTCTCACCAAAACACTTTATCTCTGGGACACAGAACCCGTCTCCTTCCTGAGCGCTATGATGGCTGGACATTCCCATGGTGTTTATAATTGATATAATTGTTTGAACAGATGAACGTGGAACCTTCAGGCATCTGGAAGTTGTACCCAAGGATGAACCTATGGAGGTCCATAGTTCTCTTCCTGATATCTTGGATGATTTCTTTAGATTTTCCATGTTGTCACAAAAGGAAGCAGTGTGTCTGAGGTGTGCCTTAAAATATATCCACAGGTGTGCCTCCAATTAACTCCGATGTTGTCAATGAACCTATCATAAGCTTCCAAAGCCATGACATCATCATCTGGGCTTTCCCAAATAGAAATAAAAATTCTGGCATTTAGCAAATAGAAATAATGCTGGTAATTGTGCTGTCCTCACTGCACGTAACTGTGTGCTGCTAGACAGCCAGCGAACTATTTAAGAAACTCCACACACAAGGCTTGCTTTTCTTATGGAGATTTCTCGAAGTCAACGTGACAATTAGTAAAAAGACGAAAATTTCCCCAGGCTCAAATGCTCCAGAACCGACACAGCGCACATCCGAGGTTCCCCAGACCTTGTCTCCGTCACACTGCCGGCCGTTTCTCACCAACAGGAAAAACGCCGAAGATCGTTTATAGTCAAGACGAGCGCTCACTCTGACGTAACCACCCTCCCCCCGAAGACGTCTCACGCGGATAACTTTTTAACTGTAGCTTTATAGCAGTTTTTCCTATGAAGTTAACTTATTTATTTATACATTATGAACTTATTTGTAACCTTTTCTCTAACTTATCGCTCGTTAAAATATTAATATCTTTGACCCAAAGACATGACAGTAATCCTAACTGACCTAAAACAGGAAAAGTTTAGTCTAATTTCATGTCAGACAGTGAGAAGAAAAAGGTTTTCATGTCTTTTTATGCAGTGTACATAAACTTCTGGTTTCAACTGTAAGTGCAGACTATTTACCATCTTTATCAGGACAGAATTCCATGTGCACCCAGTCGGAGTGATTCCGGTTCACATTGGCTCGTACACGAAGCATGTAGATGCCCAGGTAGTGCAGGTTGCATGCTGTAAGATCACATGACATCTCTGACGTCTCCTTACATGACGTGGACCAGATTGGATCCTTCTTCTTGGACTTCAGCTTGTACTTCCTGGAAAGATGAGATAAAAAAACACAAAACAAAAGTAAGACTATTAATCATTGTAACTGGAGACATCTTGAAGCAGACATCTTTAATTCAAAATTGAAAAAAATAAGGACTGTTATGACAAATTTCCTTCTAAACCTGGATTTGTAATTTTTCTAAATCACACTTTCAAGCTTTGTACAATAGAGAAAAAAATCTCATTAGTTTATCATATCTTATTTTTATAGTATGTTTATTACCATTTACCAAAGCTGCATTTGTTTGGACAAATATAATGATAATAACAAAAATATCTCATAAGAGTTTAACTTAAGAGCTGATACCTAGTAAGGCTGGACCCGAATAGCCTAACAGCCGTCTATTCGTTCACTGTGCTGTAATCGGGATATCAATTGTGATCTCCAAATATCCCTCCCACTGCTGCCGCCACCGCCACCACCGCCACCACCGCCACCACCGCCACCGCATACAGTATGGTGACTGCTGATGGCGGAAACGCCCGCTCACTGCTGCCCCGGACCTGTACAGGCGGTGGGGGCTATTTCTAAGTAACTTTCTTTAAAAGTTGAATTAACGTTAACCAGCTAGTCCCGGCCAGTCTCCTTTAGGCTGCAGCTAGCAAAACTAGTCCTTGATCAGCTCTCTGAGAGGTCTTTTGCAAGCTAGCGGGCCACTTCATATACATGTTAGGAAACACTTTTTCTTGTATGACAGAAATATTGTCATTCCACCTCAGTTCACTGAATGCGCCACGCCCGACCAGCTTTAATTTGACAGATGTTATTTTAAAATAGTAATTTTTTGCGCCAAACTGTGAAGCAATGTTTGAAGCGCAATAACTTTAGAATGATGTGTACATATGAGCTTCTAACCCTGCTTTGATAGAATAATACAAACCACTTATATGATGGTGCCAGTTTCATAAAAAAGAAAGCCAATGCTTCTGTCTATTCCAATAGTCAGAGGCAAACTTTATGAGAAAATTGAAATTACGATTTTTGTATAAAAGCTAAATTTAAGACAACTGTTGAGCAGGTGCGTAGGTGAAACCGCTACAAAAGCAATCTCATCTAGAAGAGCTATGTATTATTACTGGGCTAAAAGAAAAACCATGGTTTTCCATCTCAAAGTGTTACGCATTAATGCGTTATGCAAGAATCATTTTATTACTATTTCTCTCACAAAGCATGCTTCTGACTGGCAACATAAATACATTTTATAGCTCCTTTTAGTGCCACTCACAGGAAAAACAACAACAGCTTCATAGGGTGAAAAAAAAAGGTTTTATGGTTGGTGGAATATCAGAATAGAAAAAACGCTTTCTGACCAAATTTACACCATCATATAAATGATTTGTAATATTCTATAAAAGGGTTGGAACATTGAAGTCCATAAGTACACATCAATGAGCGTCCAAAATCTCAGGACTCTAGCTACATTATTTCTCAAGTTAAGACACTTCAAACATTGCTCCACGGATGGGCGCAAAGAAAACATGATCCTACTTCTCTCTATACATTTTTTATTGAAAAAGTTACACCTGTGACCACAAATTTTACCTAATAACATGCACAGAAAAAAAAATAAAACAGGATTGAGAGTTTACAGCTATGCAGTCATTTCTGTGAGGATATGATGCTCAAAGTAAAGAAAAACTGGCGGTAAGATGAATAGAAGTTGAGGTCATTAGCAGTCATGGGGGAATGATAACAATTCCTCTTGTGGGAAACAAATGTCTGTAGCATATTTTGTGGCATTTCAAGCAACACTTGTTAATATATGTGAAAATATATTTGACATAAGAGCAAAGCTGTGGACAAATGACAATAAACACCCAAATGTTTACCTGGGATTAACACTAGAGGTAAATTAATTAACTGGAGATTCAGAGGTAAATCACTTAATCACAAATTCAACTTGACCTTTTCCCAAACAAACTTGATACATGAACCTCAGTATTGCTGGTTTGTCTCTCTCATTATGGTGTACGTGCGAATGAGTGAGACTTACGCAACATATTGTGTGGTGAAGGTGACATTGTGAGAGTCTGCAGCACTCTGGCCATAGTCCCAGCTCAGTATGTAATGGGTGTTCATGGTGATCATGGTCACATCCCGTGGTGGGGTCGGGTCTACTCCAGCTGAGGGAACAAAGGAGAAAACCCACATGATGACACAGCCCATGCCAACTGCTGCAGATGTCATAGTGATCAAAAATGCATTGTAACATGTAACCATTTAATCACAAGTAATAACATCTGGCTACTGTAGTTCTTAGCTTTAAATCATTGAAACAGAAGCAATGAGTGCATTCGTTGGTGACTATTTTCATTTGCAGATTAACAAACATTCTGCTGCTGTATTGAGTATTTCTGGCCACAGGACAATGTATGTAGTAGAGATATTATAATATACAGTGCCGTGAAAAGTATTTGCCCCCTTCTTGAATTGTTTTTAAAAAAAAATACTTGTCCCACTTTAATGTTTAAGATCCATCCATCATCTCTACACTGTAATCCTCACTAGGGTCCTGGGGGGCTGGAGTCTATCCCAGCTGACTCAGGGTGAAGGCAGGTTCACCTGGACAGGTAACCAGTCTATCACAGGGCTACACTTAGAGACAGACAACCAAGCACACTCACATTCACACCTATGGACAATTTAGAATCACCAATTAACCTCAGCATGTTTTTGGACTGTGGGAGGAAGCCGGAGAACCCGGAGAGAACCCTCGCTGCACGGGGAGAACACGGAGACTCCACGCAGAAAGATCCCGGGTGTCCTCACCGGGACGCGAACCGGCGACCTTCTTGCTGTGAGGCAACAGTGCTAACCACCGAGTCACCTTGCAGCCCATGTTTAAGATCATCAAACAAATTTAAATATTAGACAAAGACAACCACAAGCAGGTGCACAAAGCATTTCACTGTGCGTTATACCACGTATAACTGTGTTTGTGACCAACAAAGGCCTTGAATCCTTGATCCTGGCCCTGTGTGAAAAAGTAATTGCCCCCCCATGTTAAATCATGAATTAACTGGGGCTAATCGCATTTTTTGGAAAGCTGAATTCAATTTCACCGACCACACCCAAACCTGATTACCTCCAGACCTGTTCAATCAAGAAGTCACTTAAATAGAACCCAGTGTTTCCTCTACATTCATTCAATAAATAGGTTGTAAAGGTAAAATCTGCTGTCAAGTGTCATTTGTTTACGTCATCACGGCTCTCCGGAGAACCTGCCCCCACTGCTGAAAAAAATCCTAGACACTGGAACCTGTCTGACAAAATGAAGTCGGCCAAAGGATCTCAAAAAGCTGCAACAAAATGCCGAAGAAATTCAAGAACAGATGAGAAATTAAGTAATTAACATCTATCAGTCTGGAAAGGGTTATAAAGCTGTTTCTAAAACTTTAGGACTCCAGTGGACCATGGTGAGAGCCATTATCCACAGATGGAGAAAACATGGAACAGTGGTGAACCTTGCCAGGAGGTCGGCCGACCAAAATGAGCCCAAGAGCACAGCAACGACTCATCCAGGAGGTCACAAAGGAACCAGTGTTTCCTCTCACTAACAATCACACTGGAAAGATTATATTGACAATACATGCTTCAAAATAAATACTCAGTGGAACAACAGTGAATCCACCTGTCATCAGTGACACAAGTTGTGATAATTGAAATCCAAACTAAGTTCACCTTTAATCATCCTAACTGCATGAACATTATAAAATAACACGAGAACATTTCACATCAGTTTTGGACTTAGGAGCTGTGTTCATTGGCACCATGACTCCACGTGGATAACAACTGCCAGTTAGTGTTCAATGCAGACATAAAGTCATAAAATCAGTCAGCTGACACAATATAGAATCTTTTGACATTCAAGTGTTATTGCACACAGTCATACTTCTGTTGCATACTGAATCAATAAGTACTATACAGTGTTAGTGAGATACATTAAGCGTTTGTTTGGCTCTACACATGGTTTAGACCAGGGGTTCTCAACTGGTCTCACCCTGGGACCCACATTTTTCCATGGTCATTAAGTCGTGACCCAATTTTTTTTAGAATTCAATATTCAATATATTTTCCTGTGCAACATGCATTTCAGAGCATATAACCATGTATAGTAACTGGACAATGACAACTGCATGTACAAAACTGCACAAAATAAATAAGGGCACAAAACAATGTGTTTTCACTCCATTTTGAGCAAATTAATAAGAAACTAAGGAGGACCATGACAACTGCATGTACAAAAGTGAATAAGGTAAATATCAAAACTAGCGTGACAACACCTTGCCCCTCGACAGACAGTGGACTTCTGGGTGCACGCAGGCTCCGACGGGCTGGAAGTGGCGGGACGCAAAGGCAGCTTTTGGCTGTCCGCGACCCACCCAGAACAGGTCCGCGACCCACTTTTGGGTCGCGACCCACCAGTTGAGAACCCCTGGTTTAGACCATAAAATAGAAAACTACTAGGGCCAGACCGATTTATCGGCTCAGCAACACCACGAAAAGCTCAGTTTTTGCTGCTGCTTGTTGTAAACAAGTCAACCTTAGACACGGAGATGACGAAGAGTTAAGATAGCTGACGACCGTCTCTGCCACAAAGTCTGAAACCACAGCAGCGCATAGAGCCTCACTCTGACAGAGAACTACAGAAAACAACTTTTTAAACTTTTTATCCAACCTTTTACCGAACTTATGTAACTTAAATTTTATGAACTTATTCTCATCAACTTTAAAGACATCACAGTGAGAGTCCAGAACATCAGAGGGCTGCATCAATAAAGTTTTGCAGTAACTTCATTTATTATGCTGCTTATATACAGCAGACACCTACGGTCTAAATCTAAAGATAAAGTCATCAGTACAGCTAGTAGCTATATTCATGCTCCATAGAAAGAAAAATGCACAACTTGAACTGGCATCGGCCTCAAAAAATCCATATCAGTCGGGCCCTAAAAACTATAGACTGTTTAAAACTGTTGAATATCCCCGGACCCACTTTTAAACAGCTTTGTTTGTATAAAAGTGCACAACTTGCATGGATTTGTCAGTGTGAAAGAGGAACTACAGAAACAACATCAGACAGGATTAGAAGTGAGACGGAACAATTTCCTGCTGTCTGACAAAAAAACCCGAACAAAACAAAACTGGTGTTTCCAAAACTGTGCATTAAAATATAATGGTGACACGTTTACTTATTTCATGCAAAAAGCCAAATTAATAGAACTGGTGTGTCTTTGTAAACAAAAGTAATTACACATTCACAATTGAATTTATCATGAATCATATCATGATTTATGTTACGAGTGTTTTTTTTGTTTGTAGACAACCATTTGCAAATATTAATTTGAAAAGACTAATTTTACAACTGAAATGGTAATCATGTCGTACTCAGACTCCAGTAGAAGCACTCAATAACCAGCATAAACAGAGAAACAGAGAATATAGAAACAAGAACTTTATTATTAATTGTTCACTAAAAGTAGAGGAAGTGTGCCAATTTGTCTTTGTCTTCTCTAGAACTAGAAAGAGGAACAAACCAACAGAAAAACAAATCACAGAATACTGTAAGCTGTTCATAGGTTACATCTGTGTGCTAGGTAAAAAATGTCATTGTCTGGGTCACAGGAACAAACTCAAGCAATCCTATGCAACCTGTGAATTTGGAACAGGAGGAAGATGTGGTAGTAAACATATGAAGATTCTCAGTGCCAGCCTCTATTGGCCCCACAAGAACATAAACCAAAAAAAAAAAAAATCACTACTTTATGAGCAATCCAGAAAAGTTTGTTTTAAACTAAAGGAGAGACAAAATGCATCCTACGACATGAAGTAAAATTTATCGGAGATCAACCAATTCAAAGTTTGGAGTCCTTCATCTTAGTTCTCCTTAAAATATGTATATTTTTTTAAAGTAGCAGTTGTATATCTGTCCATACTGGGTTTTAAACATAAACACATCACATTTGTAAACACTGCTAATAAGGAGTGTGGAAGTCTGGTTATTAAGGAATGAAAACCAAGATATGTACATTTGGTACACTGACGCAAGAATGCATTTGCTAGTGTCAACAGGGCTCCAGACTGTGACTGAAACAGTCGAATATGGAGCATTTTTGAAGGGTGTGCACGTTAAAACTTCACAAGGTCACATTTGTACAAGTGTATGATGATCATCAGGCTGATCTGGAGACACTCCAGCCATCACTCACACCTCCTCTGTTAGCTATTTCAGTGTAAAGTAGTACTTTTTCCTCTTTGTTAGCTCAGTGGGTTTCCATTTCACTGTTACTGTATTCCAAAGACAGAAAAAAACAGAAAAGACAAAACATAGAGAGAGAGAATTCCAACTCAGACACACCTAATGATCAGAGTGCAGGTACAGACAGGGAGAGCTCGTCTGAGTCAGTTCAACTGAGCTCACTAGAGCCAATCTGGATCGCTAACACAGCGCTGAGGCTGAAAAGTCAAACTGATACTAACAGCAATCAGTTAACAGCAAGCCTTTATACAATTAAGTAAACATGTTCTTTTTCAACTAATTTTCAGACTCTCAGCTGTATGAGTGAACTGCAGTCACCCGGCTAGTATTTACCACAGCCTACATGTGAAGCGTTTAGGGAGCACTGATAAATAGTAGCATCAATAAGCAGATGATAAGCCAGTGAGGAAGTTAGCCTGAGCAGTTTATAGGACTCAGTGTTTCCTCTACATTCATATAGAAGCGGTTTTAAAAACAAGATTCAGCTTCCGCTTGACCAGCTACAATTGAAACCATAAGTTTACATACACAGTATTAGAAAGACTTAACTTTTTTTCCCTTTTAAATGTGACTAAATTTTTCCTGTTTCAGTTCAGTGGGGATTACCAAAATTATTTCTATTTGCTAAACGCCAGAACGAGAGAGAATTTTTTTAAGAGAATTTTTATTACTTTCGTAGAAGTCAGAAGTTTACATCCATTTGGGTCAAACATTTTGGGTTTCGTTCCACAAGCTTCTGAGAATAGTTTGATGAATTCTGGCCCATTCCTCCTGACAGAACTGGTAGTGTTCTTTCCTCATGATGCCATCTATTCTGTGAAGTGCACCAGTCCCCTCCATAACATGATGTTGCCACCCCTGTGCTTCACAGTTGGGATGGTGTTCTCAGGCTTCAAGCTTCCCCCTTTTTCCTCCAGATGCAACGATGGTCATTATGGCCAAACAGTTCAGTTTTAGTTCCATCAGACTACAGGACATGTCTCCACAAATGAAGCTCTTTGTCCCTGTGTGCATTTACAAACTGTAATCTGCTTTTTATGTTTCTTCTGGAGTAATGTCTTCTTTCTCTCTGAGCAGCCTTTCAGCCCATGTTGGTACAGGACTGGTTTCACTGTGGATAATGACTCTCTGACCAGCTTCAGCAGCATCTTCACAAGGTCTTCAGCTTTTCTTCTGGGGTTGATACGCACATTTCTCACCAAAACACTTCATCTCTGGGACACAGAACCCGTCTCCTTCCTGAGAGCTATGATGGCTGGACATTCCCATGGTGTCTATACTTGCGTATAATTGTTTGAACAGATGAGCGTGGAACCTTCAGGCATTTGGACATTGTACCCAAGGATAAACCAGACTGGTGGAGGTCCATAGTTCTCTTCCTGATATCTTGGATGATTTCTTTAGATTTTCCATGTTGTCACAAAAGGAAGCAGAGTGTTTGAGGTGTGCCTTAAAATACATCCACAGGTGTGCCTCCAATTAACTCTGATGTTGTCAATTAACCTATCAAAAGCTTCCAAAGCCATGACATCATCATCTGGCCTTTCCCAAATAGTGATCTTAGTGGATGTAAACTTCTGACTTTGAAGAAAGTAGTAAAAAATTATCTTAAAAAAAATCCGTTATTATTCTGGCGTTTATCAAATAGAAATAATGTTGGTAATCCTAACTGACCAAAAATCGGAAAAGTTTAGTCTGATTTAATGTCAAACAGTGAGGAAAAAAAGGTTTTGTGTCTTTTTATGCAGTGTATGTAAACTCCTGGTTTCAAATGTATATGTAATGCCACCACACACAGTATCTCCAGTTGCCATCCCAGAGCTGCAGCAAAAGGCACAAGCTCAAACTGAGCTGTCACAGAAAATCTACCACGCTGGTACCATAGCGTTCTAAGTAAGTCTCACTGTTCATTTGTTAATCAAGACTTTTAAATGAAAAATAATTAAAAACTACAAACAGCATTTTTCTCAGGCAATTAAGTGAAAACATTGCGATAGAGATGAGAAGGGTTGGCTGCCTGAGGGCTCTGATGAGCTGCATTAGGTCTATATAGGAACAGGCAATGTGATAAAAGTACAGAAGCCACATCTTAAAATTGGTCAGTTATATCCATGGTGTATTTACTGTCACAATACACACATACTACAGAAAAACAAAATGTCGCATTTAAGGGTAGCTCAGCGGGGCTACTTATCGGAAGGTCGGGGGTTTGAAGCCGAGCACTGCTGGCCAGGCGTCCACCGCTGGCTCTGCTCCGGGCTGGATACCCTGCTCACAGCTTTCTAACAAACTGACAGCTTCAGTTTTATTTAGATACTCAACTAGGTATTTAAGTAAATAAAATCAAATTAATATACCAGATAATTTTAAAAAAAAAATGATGACCCGTTTTTTTTTTTTTACAAGCTTGTGGTTAGGAGGCATTACTGTATTTGGATCTGGATATTATCGAGCTTAACCAGGAAGTGAGTTGTGATGTTGTGTTGACTTACGAAGACCTACACTGAATCTGTAGACAATAGACACGTTTAAAGTTTAGTCTAATGTAGCAGTTACACGTGAACTACTGTAAAGCTAGCTAACATTCAGAGATGTGTGATATCGAAAGTAACAGATGACTCATATGCTAGCAACTTACCGAAGACATACGGTGTTTTCCTTCCTACATTTTTTCTACAGAACACTGGAGGAGACACTAACAGTATTTTTTTTCTTTTTTTGCCAACTTGTTTGCTATGTGTAGTTAGTTTTAGCTTGTGAAGATAAAAACGGACCACACGGCTACACAGTCGCCGAAGATACAAGCCGCCGGACGTTAGCATGCTAATTTCTTGAGCTAAAACACTTACCAGCGCTGTTCTGGAGACACCAACACAGAAGGCAGAAATAAAGAGCAGCAGACATGATTGATATTCTGGCAGCTAGTAACAGCTTCCAACGTATTAATCGTGTGCTTAATGCCAAGGATTGGCTCGGACGCACTTCACTCGGAGTCGGCTCCACTCGGCTGAAACTGGCAGAGCGATCTGGATATACAGATCCGGCTGAACTTTCAAAATAATAGCAAGATTGAACCTCTGTTTAAAGCGCTTGAAGACTTGTTTTGAAGAATTTAGTAAAAAAAAAACACAACAACCCAAAAACCCAAAAAACAAAAAAACGTACTTTTTTTTTTAAACAGCCACAAAATAGGTTTGAAAATCCTTCGAGGAAAGGTTTTATCTGTAGTTTATATACTCACGGACATGCTGTCACATACAGTGTCATCTAGCATCATGGGCTAATGTCCAACACGTTTCGTTTTCTTTTTAATTTTATTTATTTTTTTAAATAACACAACATTTGATTTAAGCATGTCAAACCAACAGAGGATTCTGGTATTTCAAAGAAGAATGTTAAGACGCTCACACTGAATAGCGACTCATGTTTTGTTCAAATACACTGAAAAGCACTTCACATCAGGACGCAGAGAAACATCAGAATCAAATGTAAGAATGTAAAATGATTTTTAGAACATTCTCTCCCTCACTCTGTCTGGTTGACACACACACACACACACACACACACACACACACACACTGAGCGACACTGAAGATACCAACTCTTGCCATAAATGTAATTGCAAAGTAACTTTAAAACTATTTTGTCTTAATTGTGCAGGTCCAAATTGTTGTGAATTAGATGTCTTTGATATATAACTACTCAGTAATTGTTTGCCCCGTCATTACACTGACACTTCCTGACTAATTGTACCTTTATCATTACGTACATCCAAGTAGAGTTGTAAATCCAGAAATGGATTGTTTCTTTTTTCTTTTCCTCATGGCAGGGGCGTCACTAAGTTTTAAGGACCTGGGGGCTTAGCCCCCAGGAGATGCTCACGATGTGAGTTAACGTAGCACACAAGGACAAAACTTCACAAACAGCAAACAAAGACTGAGAAACTATTCATTATTATTTTTATTTCAGTCTGTTTTTTCTTTTTTTAATGCAGTACAACAACAAACAGGT